GGCTGGTAGAGGGAATTTCAGGGCCTGTGCCTGCGGGTGTAGGTGCCAGGGGAATCAAAGAATGGAGATGAGTGGTATGAAAAGGAATAAAGTGAGGAAAAAGAGACAAAGAGAAGACAAAAGCTTCCCATGAGATGCTGTGGGTAAGCAGCCAAATAAGGATGGAAACCACATTTTTAGGGAGCAGGGAACAGGGTGAAGCAGCACCCAACTGTGCTGGCTCTGGAAGCTGAGGGAATGCCTTGATGAGATCAGATTCTGATCTGCCTAATCTGTTTGCACAGTACTTTGAACATGTAAAGTATTCTGTAAGTGCAGCTTATGATTAAAAGGGCTCTTTAATTCTCTTTTATCTTGGCTGTAGCATCGTGAATATTTTTGTAATTCTATTATGTTAAGCTGCTGATCCAAAGGAACATTTTATTTGCCTGTAAAACAAATTCTGTGCAAGTTGGGGCTAACGTGAAGTGACTCAAACAGATCTCGGAGTTGGACATGGAAACGTGTAATTAAAGTTGACATTTTGCAGATGGAAAAAAAAAAAAAAAAAGAGGATCAATTTCGGAGCAGGATTTAAATATTACCCAGTCAATAAGTATTTCTGCCACACAAAAATGTGCACTAAAATAACTCCATACCAGGGAGAGCATCTCAAAAGTGACTTGAGCTCGACAGGCTGTGGCTCTTAGAGTGGCATTGGCTGTTCTGGTGGGATAAAAATCCTGCAGAATCACCTATGGGAGAGCTGAGGCTTCCCAGCTTCCCAACCAGCTTTCTGACCTTGCTTGGTGTGCAGGTGCCAAGCTGGAATGATTTAATCCATAACACACGTTGCATCGTGATCTGTAGAGAGGGCAATGACTCCTGGGTTGGCCTTTCCCTGTCTGTGTGGTCAGAACTGTTTCTTGGACCTTTGAGGACCTGGTGCTGTTTGCCAGACTGGCACAAACCTCTCTGCTCTGAGACCAATCTACCAGTAACTGCAATAATAGAACATTATTCTGCTTTTTCCAATTCTGTTCGAAATCAAAACCCAACTCTGCCTGTGCCCAGGGCTAAGGAGGGAGGGAGTGGAGCTCATCTCTCCATCCTGGACTTTGGGATTGGTGCCAGAATGTTTCCTGAGCACAAGGAGAAGGTGCTTTTCTCATTCCACCGTGGGGTGAGGAGTGTAAATGCCCTTCCTTGTGCAGAGCTCCCTGTGTGTGGGGACAGGGAGAAGAAAGCTGGTTTGTCTGGCACTGAAACTGATCTGGGGCACAAAGGGGAGAGAGGCTGAAAATCCAAGGCTGGTTGGATTTTTTTTTTTTTTCCTCTCTAAGTCAGCTGATAAAAACCTAATCTCAGATTTCAGAAAAGCTTTGCTTCTTCAGACAGCTCAGCCCTTTGTGAGGCCTTTTCAGAGCAGAACTGGGCTTGGCTGTTCCAGAGCTGAGCAGTGTGCCCTGGCTGCTTGGTGTGCATTGCAGTGGGGCTGAATTTAGCTGTGGGGTTGGATTAATTAGTAACAAATAGAGCAGCTTAGCAATTTCCACGAGGAAATGTGTTTAAAACTGAGGAACTGCACTCGCAGCAAATCTTGGGGGTTTGGACTCTGTTCTGCTTCTTTTGCAGCTGTTTAGTGAAAGATGAATATACCAAAAAAAAAAAAGGGGATTCTGCAGAAAGGAAGAAAGAATTTCCCTCAAATTTCTCAAGTGTTTTGGAGTTTTGTTTCAATTTTGAGATGTAAAAAACCTTCTTCACTCTGAGGCCTTTTCCCTGCTTCCCCCTCCTGTTTGCTGCCTGCTCTATCTGCAGCACTTCAGAATCCAAATCAGGTGGTTTTGCCCTTCATGGAACAATAATTTATTTCAAATATATTCTCATGTGATGCTTTGTCATGTGCTTAATCGAAACTGTACCTTTATCTCTTGTGTCTGAGGAGCCTGAACAGGTTTGTGCTGGGAAGGATTATTGCTGTGTTGGTGCTAATGGTATGTCTCTCTTGTCCCACCCTCCTCCTCCTTTTTTCTCAGGACTATTTTCCTGGTGTTGCTGTTTTCTCAGTATGCCAGAAATGTCAAATTCCCCTTACCCATTTACAAGTCCAAGAAAGGATGGACAGCATACAGGCTGCAGCTTTTCAAGATGTTCCCTGTAAGTCACTGAGCTTCAGCTGGCAAAAACACCCTGATTTGTGCTGCAGGGGTGGGTTTTTTCTGGTTTTCAGTTTTTCTTAATAATAAAATAGGTCACAAAGGTGAGATAAAAGCTTAAATGGGTTTACTGGAAGCTTATTAAGTGGCTTTCTGGCCAGAGGAGATGTTCTCATTGTTGTCTTGCCAGATCCAGTTCTGGCATCTGTCTCTGCTGAGGAGTCTTTGGAGTGATGAAGACCACGGAGGGGAGGGAAAGGGGGCAAAAGAAATGTTTATTCATGCAGTAAAACCTAAACTGAGCCCTCCAAAATGGGATGATGAGATTGTTATCGTCTCGTTTTCCCAAAGCAAAACTCCTTCCCTCAGTGAAAGGTTCCCTTTATTCCTTTGGGAAAACAGAGACTAATTCCACAGCTGGTTCAAGTGCCCATTTGGAGACTTTCCCATTTGTTCAGGAGAGAAGAGGTTTGCTCTAATTCCAAAGCTTTTGTAGCATCACCTTCCTTAGAGACTGGGGGGGACACCCAAGGGATCTGTTACTTGCTGCTCG